ACCACAGTAAACCTCGTCAACTCATTCAGTAATGAAACAAAAAAGGTTAGATAAAGTGCTCATAGATAACTGCTGCTGCAGAAAATGTCTGTGAATCTAGCAGCAACTTTACAACACTGTCAAAATGTTAGATGGTTAGCTAAAGTGAAGGTGTCCAAATGAAAAATCCGAACATGCAAGAACAGCTCTTAACTTCCAGAAATGCCTTTTCCAACGCCCTGATAGGGAATGCTGGTGAGGAGGCAGATATAAATGAATTCATAATATCTGATCGATATACGAAAATTATTGCACTCGTAAGATTTCCGTCTTTCAATTTCCGTCATTTTAAAAAAAATTTTTTAGCAGTCAATATCATTAAAATCTATGCTTTTTGTTTATCATAACGCACATTTTCTCTGGGATATAAGTGCTAAATCTCTATTTAGGGTGTTTGAGCCGCTTCGGATCGGTCGTACGCTAGGTGCATTATCTCTTAAACATTGTCTCTTCTACTACTGTCATACAAGCCCATGTCTATCTTATGTTCCGTAACTGTCAGATTTTAGCAGGCGAGCAACTAGATATAGGAGTATCTTTGAATGCCAAACAGATTTTACGTCATTGCTTCCGCAAATGACCTTCAGTGTTTATATAGATTAAATGATATCTTCAAGGGTGCCTCCGTTTCAACGGCACCGGTGTCGAGGCGAGTGTTACACCGTAAGAAATTCTGGATATTTTTGAAAAACGCAGAATTTTTCATCTTTTCTTTCTTCCGGCGAGTGGGCATACATTTTCACAAAATTCGAACTATCGGAAGCAAGTCCAAACTCTATAGTACGATGTAATTTAAAAATAACGCCACATATTTTTGACATTGATTGCGTCGTCATACGAAGGTATTAATATAAAGGGGGAATACTGCAGTATTTGCAGCGTTTCCTTTCGAAATGAAGTCAGATAGAGAATAGAAACTGCGAATGTTATCGTTAGAGCGTGTCATTTCGTCTGATTTGCCATTTATGAATCGACTCATAATCTGCTTTAAAGCAGTCAGTTGACGGCGGATATCCAAAGTCAGCTATTTCTGCGGCCAGTTATGCCCCTAGCGTCTAAAATCCGAGGACATTCCACATTATGGATGGAACTGCATAGTTCGTTTAAGCAAATGAAATTTTTGCAGTCATTTTATGCTCCTGATCCACACATTTCTATAGTATTACTTTTTCTAGGTGAAAAAGTATGACAGAGAGTACTCACTTTGATAAGTCAAATGTCCTTATGTCGACATATCCAAAGTAATTATAATTACTAACTCTGGAGTGGGAATGAAATAAAATTAATGATATTGGCCTATTAACCATACTTTTTGAACTCTATTATTATTTTGGATACGGGAGAGCGAAAAAATTATGGTATCCTAATATGCATTGTATTGGCCTCGCCTACAATTTAAACTCTCCCGTAGCCTGCTGAAACACAATAATGTGTTGGCTTATTTTGTACTTATTTGCCACAAATACTGAAAGGTCATTAGTAAATCAATAGGGTCTTTATTCGCTGTGTTATTATCCGTGAACACCGTTTCTTGTAATGCTTGATTATAAAAGACTTTTTGCTGTTTTTATACCTATTTATTTTTGATTGCACTATAGTGCAATGGTATACCACTGTGCAAATATAGAGGAGAGCGCGTAATCCTAGATATTTATGTTTTATATCGTTTGAAGACCGTTTTTATTATAGTATTCTTTTCGTGGAATTTATTGGTTTATGAAGAATTTATTGTAGAACACATAATAAACAGGCTTTAGCAATGAGATAATGACATGCAAATGTAATGTCAATTTAGGACAGGGTGTAATTTTGATTGATGTGCATAAAAGGGCGTTTTAAAAAGCACACGTGTCTGCATGCTCCTTTACATGATCTACCTTTGCTGGGAGGTAGGCACTTAATTTTAAACATGTAAGGGTACCGCAAACGCCGATATTTTACAATAAGTGAACTCCGACTGCAAAATCAATACTATAGGAGGTAGGAATGAACGAGGAATGAAAATCTTCCACATGCATTGTTTTCGGTGTTGCCAGATGCGGCCATCGTGTTGAATGATCTGTTGTAGTCACACCAGGCAGTTACAACTGGCCTCCTCATAACCGCCGCTTTCCTTAGTGGCAAGACGTTGCCGTTAGTGGTTCCTGCCGGCAGGGAGGTAACCAAACATTCCTGTCGGAAGAGGAGAATGGCCACAGTTTTGATTGCCGATGATCAGACTCGCTGAAATTAAACCAGTTAGTAAGGGTCGTGAGACGATAATTGCGTATGCTTTCACTTGTGGACATGGTCATTTGTTTATTTGCCTGTTCACAAACTACGTGCTGGATAAAAGTGTGTATAGTTTAAAGAGGTGCTTATTCAAATGCAACCAGTTTGAGTGCATTTGCCAATGCCTAGTTACCAAAAACGATAGTCTATTAACTTGCCCCAAGACAACCTTCAATATTACTGGCAATGACTTTAAATAAAACCAGCTAACAGAGGCGAGATATAAGGAGAATAGAAGGATCACTTATGTTAGGCTCTTTGAAAGAAACCATTACATATTTGTTCTCATGCAAAGCCTCATTAATCCTAGACTAAACTTCAACAACAAGACCACTTATTCTGCTCTTTTAAAACAGAACTTGCAATCAGCCATGTCTTGAATAAATTGCACAAGCGGATATATGGTAAGAGTGAGGTTACTAAAATAGACCCGGAGAAGTACTTAATAGGAAACGCCAAAGACACATAAAACATGTACTTAGTACTTACTTTTGTCGAATGGGACGAATTTTTACTTTTCCTTAAGGAAAATCCAGAAGAACCTCCCAAGTTATTTGGAACATAGGGGCAATCGCTCAGTTCGAATGATACCATGCAACTCTTGTCAGTTTTACTTATGCAAACGTTTTACGCAATTACGTGTGTTAGTGACCGACTTTCCTCCTTCTCTAAGGTTAAGCAGATGCATCTGACACTGCTTAAACCAAGCAAACCCATTTGCAGGATATCTATTTGAAATGTAAAACAGCTGTTCACATCCACACTCTTCCTGTATATTGTGTGTCCTTTTTGACGAGGAGTTAAATTTGCAGCTTTTTATTCTCCTCAGGAATTAATATACCAACTTAGAGCTTATCCTTTCGGTTGCTTCTTTCTGCCCTCTGCCTAAAATTGGATGCCGAAAACCCCTCAGCTTCGGTGAGATAACCGTGTACTATCGGTAAGTTGATAACAGGCAGTTAATAGCAGGCACAAGTCAACGGGTCACCACAATGACAGCTGAGGTATGGATGTCTGTGTAATGCCGAGCGACTGGCTTATTTTACGAATTCTTCGTCTAATAAATCAAACCTACAGCGGCGGATATAGGTGTGCCAGCACTTTACATCAGTTGGAGAGGCTTAGGATGTTTGTACTTAGTTTCCCCCGGAAGTAACTTCAGTTGCCGAAACGTTTCGGGTGCTCTACTGACCTTTTTATCTGTGTCACTTCTAGTCTGACCTATTTGCCTAGATCGAAACATGCGGTACATAAATGATGAGCACATTCAAATGCGAAAGTAATGATTCTAAATCTCTGAAGATTTTCTGTAGGTCACGTCATTTTGTTCACGATTCGCATATCTCATATGCTGCACTTAACTGTCTTTATTTTTTTGTGCAACTAAGCAATCTCTTTAATGGTTGGCTCTGCCCCGTTATCTGTAGTGCTAGGGTTCCTCATGGTTACCAAATCTCTTCATGAACCATGAGGGCGAGGCACCACTAGGAGGACCTCTAGGAGGACCTCGAAGCTCAAAAAAACGCAGTAAGTCGATTTCTCCTCCCAATTCACCTCCAATTCCCTTAGTATGTCGGCCACTTGCACGAATGTGAATATCAGTTTAATTCATATTTCTTTATACGTCAACTGTCAACCAAATTCAACACTTCTGTCGATCGCAGTTCTCAATTGGGCCAAAACCGAGTTTACAATAGGGGTGAAAATAACTAACTGGACTTACTTTCTTGGTGGCGCAACTAGTGGCCTTATGTGTCTCAGGTACACAAAAAATAAAATTTTAAGACCAGTGACGGCGACCTAAAATGCAAGATCCGTTTGTTGAAAAATCCAAGCGCATTACAGCCGGGAAGATAACTACGGGTTGCTCTTTGTGATTCTCTCCAAATCAGACAGTTTTTTAGTAAACACAAGAGTGGCCAGACGCGTAATAGCCCATATTCCGCATAGTCATCGTATACAATATTGAAATTTTTAGATTCAACAGACTTCTAAGAATTGCCTAGGTAAATATGCCCCAGTGAAATAAACACGCGTCACTTCGTCGACAGCTCATTTGAAGTGCGTTAAGAGCCTTTTAAAAGCTAGTTAAATGTTGTCCTATGCAAGAATGTGGGCGCACGTGGTCTAGGACGTAGAAATCATTGCAAGTCAGATAGGGCTAGAAATTAGAGCAAGAACTCCGTCAGTTTTACCGCTGAAACTAATGGACGACGATTTTAAATTTCCTACAATTTCATAAAGCTGAAAAATTAATTCTAGGCATACAATGAGCCGTTACGTTTTCAATACGTTCTGGGCATTTTGAGCCATTTGTGGCAAAAATCTTAGTTTGCTTACCAAGACATGATTTATGCAAGATTTCTAATTGGCCGATGGACAAGTTTTTGTGCAAACTGCTAACCGTTAGTATTTAGACAAAACAATTCGGGAGTATATACCAGTTGTCCTACCATACCCCGATTCCATCTCTTTTATAGAGTGCAAGTGTCATGTATACTTTACCACAGGAATGCTCGGACGACACTGAAGCAGACATTTTAAAAGAATAAACGATTCTTGAGGTATCTATCCTCATTCGTTTGTCATTATCACCTGGAAGAGTGTTTTGATTTGTTTCAACTTATACGTCGAGTTTCTGCTTTTTCCAGGAACACGGATATACGGCAATTCATCACCCTAAAGCCTCGATGTATCATACACAATTAACTATTTCCTGCCTCATTTACTGCGTGGTCAAGTTTATTTCCTCTGAATTCACCCATTACGACGCTGCCGATTATGAATTAAAATTACTGAGGCTGACAACCACAGACATTTGGTATTCTCAGAGGTAACTTGTGATTTTGCAGTCAATCTTCTCCACAGGAACCATATCTTTGAAATCGACCTCCGCAATCGTTCAAAAGCTCGCCTTATACTTAAATGGCCTTCTGGTGAAGCAGCCCGCTGTAGTGGAATATTTTCAAACTGCATTGGATATATTATATATGCAGTCGAATTAAAAAGCGGGGTTTTTGAAATATGCGGCATTCTCCAGAAAATCGCAACATGTTCCATATATAAGTATGTGGGCAACTACCTGAAAGCTATTTCCGAAGAGCGCTTAGCAAACGAGCTAATAAACAGTGATCAAGACAGTACACTTTTCTACCATACAAGTAAGTATCCGCACTACTTTATGCATTGGAATGTTTTCTTAATACAAGGCAGTCAATATTAATTTTTATAAGCCATGACCGGAAGTACCTCTATAGTCCTTCAGTCGATTTCTCAAAGCACAATCAGCTTGATTCTGCATGGTTAAAATTATCGGTCCAACATGATAGTATGAATTGCATTTTTCAGTAGACAGACCTTGTGCGTACGCTAAAAGCAGCTTGATAAATATGTTTTTAGAAAATGAACAATAGAAGGGCTTGAAATTACGGAGTGAACCTGATTAGTACGTTACTTTACAAAAGAACCAATTAAATGTTAACGTTTTTGATAGATAAAATCGTTGAGAGCAGACGTAAGAGGATACATATCAAACTAGAACATGCTGTGACAGTTAAGGCCTGGTCTTCAAGGGGAACCTAACGGGTTTTACGACTTTTTGATTGCTAAGATGCTAGAGTATCCATTGACCGTGCATGAAGTTAATTTACAGGAAAATATAATCGATCGGTTACGCCGATGATACATTTAGGAAACGCAATTTTCATTTAACTCATTTGCGACTGTGAAATATAAAAGAAACGGGGAAATAAGTAAAAACAGCCATTATTTGACTTGGAAATTTTTATAAAGCATTACCTTTTTACTGTGATGCACAAATGTCTGGTCTCGAATATAGGTAAGCAATGACAGTAACGACATCCGATGATGTATTTGGCGGCGTAAGTGTCAATCTCAACGGCAACCACATATTCAAACCCAACTTCACAGTTTCATTTTAAGCAGGCGAGAATTCATTTTCTTTGAACCTTGCTCCACATAATAGCGTGAGTATAAGCAATGCAAGTTTAGACTGTCTCATTGTGCTGAAAATTTTCATTTTGAAGTACGACTCGTTTTTAACCTTCATCAAACTGCGTTAATTTTGTTTTTGCGCGGGTTTTACTTTTGTTCATTTACTTAACGGCAAATATTTTGGATTGCTTAATGTAAAGGAGGTTCTCCGAAGAACATTTCTGTCGGACAACAATAAGGATAACTTTTTTATTTACCCTGCTAAAAAGATCGGGACTTTTTAATCCTTCACTTTCACTGAATATCATTTCAGTAACTTTACCTAGGCAAAACGACGCTTATTAGCCGACTGGGAAATTGCCCCATGCTTTTAAATGTACTGAAAATGCCAAGATAAATATATTCGGCCTACTAGACTGACGGTTTGTTTTATTATCAGGTTGTTAATTAGCACGGTAGCAATTTAGTTTATGCATAGGTCAGAATTTTAATGAAGTCATTTTACCGGCTTCCTGGTAGAGAAACGTACCTTGCGCGATTTTTATCTAATTTCGAATAATCATGGATTCCGTTATTTCAAAAAATTATCTCGATCACATGAACCATTCTGAGCTAACGGAAAAACTCTTTCGAAGCATTAGCTCGTTTTCCGCGCCCGCAGTACGTCCATTGGCATGTTTAGCTCTAAATACACCTGACTACCGAGAACATTCTTATTTTGTTTTGCTGCAAATAATGCTTAAATAGTTTTATTTTGAAGAGCAGAAACCGCCAGATTTAATGGCACAGTTGAGAGGGATATGCTGACATAAACCATCCGATGGGATTCCTAAATTCTATGATGTCATCAAATATCAAACTAGACCTTAGCAGAGCAAACCACAGTCAGTTTCAGTACAAAATAAAGGTCAGTTGTGTTACAATTAGGAAAATTGGACTGAAGACAGGCATGAGTAGATTTTTATTCTTTGAGGAAAGCGTTACTTCATTTATTCGGCGAGACAATGTCATAGCAAAGAGGGCAATTATACATTCAATTACTTCCTATATCTAAAAACAGGGGCAGCAAATGTCTAAATACTGAAAAGAACACTCGAAGAAAACCTACTTAGGCACCAATAACGACAGAAGCGTTGACTGCAGACTGTAAGAGATGTTATGAATAGCGCTGAAAGTTTAACCGTTATTTGAGAGAAGTAGTCTCCAACTGTCGAAGTAATACTTCTACTGCCAGCGTCCTTCTGATTAACTGCATGCGATTTCCACCTATTTTAAAGTAAAAACTGCAAATTAAAAGATACTTGTCAGAACTGTCGTAATGTGAAACGCAGTAAAAAGTACTTTGTTAAAGCACGTCCGTACGTCATCGACGGTAAATGTATACCCCATTGGTGAATGTCCCCAAACTGCTATGCTAACGAATAATTTTCTCAATCCCATAAAATCTGCCATTTCTGTATTTACAAAAAATATACGAAACGTGTGGATGATCGCAATTTGTCCAAAATATTATTGTCCCTACAAAGGGCCGCGCAGGAGATGCATTAGACCAGCTTGGCGACCAGACTAAGGTACTGCCAGCATTGACTATTCTGCACAGGTTCTGCGCACCCCACAAAAAGTACCGCATGCGAGGTAGGTTTCTGGCACGTCTAGGCGCAGGCCCACGCCGCGTCAGCCACTTGCGTCTAATCCCAGCATCAGATTATTGGCCGTCTCGAACAGCAAATTGTTGCAGGCGACGGGGGAGAAAGAGTGTGATCGACTGCGCAATTCATTCCCGCGCATTTTAACGTACCCATCATTATAAATAATCTGATGCGCTTTAAAGCTATTACAATACGCTGAAATTCGTGGCTTAAAGCCTGCCAAATGAGGGCTAATTTAGACCTATCAGGAAAGGTGGTTAAGGCTGCAACGGTTCCTTTTTAATGTGATTCGCAGTTCAGATGAGCCCGAGTCGATCATCTCCTGTTTTCGTGAAAACCTGGTCCATAGTGCCGGATCAGACCTATGTGGCACGCGTAGACGGCTTCTGTCAGTCACTGCTCTCGCTCCCGTCTACTGTCGTCCTGGCTACTTCTCTGCAGGCGAATGAAGAAGGAGAGAGTGCGGCAGATGTTGCGCAAGTCTGCTGTCAACATAAAATAAATCACACAATAGCCAATCCACACGCTCTGCGGAATATCTCTATTTGCGAGGGTCAAACAGAAGCATAAAATAATTTCATTCTTGGCGTTTCACCCAAAAAACTTGTTTCTAAGCTCTAAACGCGAACCTTTGAATGAAATACTTCACAACGACATGTTCTGTTGTGCCCTTTCTACGGTGGTTCATGAACTGACGCAGAAGTGGACGAAGAACATCGACATGCATTAGAATACGGCTCACCCGATTTAAAAGAATGACTCGTTCACGGTAGCTGAACCGGAACCTATAAATTCGTTCGTAAAGAAAGATGCTTTAGCGCCGAACAGCACCATGCATATTTAGCGCGACAGTTTTTGTTTTAGCACATTCATGGATGGAAAAAATAGCATTAGATTGTTTATTGCATCAAAATACCTCTTTACTTCAGACCAGCCCGAGTATTGCTAAAAATTTTCAATTCGCCTCAAAACCGAATTATATAATTCTGAATTTTCGAAAACTTTCTGGACACCGTCAATTGAAATACAACTAAGCAGTAGAATAAGCTCAGCAATGAAAAATGAACAATCAGGTTTGTTCGGTTTCATTACGAATAGTCACATATAATTTACAAACAGTCGCTAATGACGAGGCTGGTAAGCGTTGTAAAGCCTGACTGCTCAGGGCATGACAGACTGGATGAGGGACGTCCGACATCTCTATTGATTGCATTCGCACGCTTAGGCCACCTAGTTGAAAGTTCTGAATTTCTTTTATATTAAGAGTAGCCAGATAACGCAGTGCGTATTCCTGCAGAGCATGTAATTTATTTTCGGTGGGTTTCGTCAATATATTGAATCAGCATGCGTCCGAGGGTAATAAACGATCGGTGGGTGCCGCAGATCGCACCAACCTGTTTGTTTAGGTTTAATCAGTTTATGATCATCATGATCTATATGAATTTTGCGAAAATCAACGTATATGAATGGCCGGAGATTGTCACGGATGATGTATTAGGAGGGCACTATTAATACTTTTGTTGCAAAGTAGTGTGTACTGTGCCCGGGATCCGCTGATTAGTGCTCGTAATACAGTTGATTTTGTGGGTTTTGCAGACACTATATGAATCGCTCTTTTCAGCTGTGATGTAATGACAATATTACTATGGATAGACTTAAGAAAATGTCCAACTTTAAACCAAATGTTTATTTGGTACACGGGTGCGCTGGTTAATATCAGGTAAGATCTTATTTCATAGCCGCACCTGTAATGGATTGGGGTTAGGGGTCAGTGCTAAGAGTTGGGGTTAAGTGTTATAGTTAGGGGTTAGGGCTAGGGGTTAGTGTTACGGTCAGGGACTAGGGTCAGGGTTTATTGCTAAACCCTCTGTTATTTCCAGTCTTGTATGGCAGGCGGTTAGTGCTTGTCTACTGCAGGTGCAGCTACGAAATAAAATCCGACCTAATATTATTACCAGAAGCTCTTCGAGTGCGTATCTTATATTCTTCCTTGAAAATGTAATTCAAATTCGATGAAGTTGTCGGTGGGTTTATGAATGTCAGAAGTAAACAGCCTTCATTCTGACCAGGCCGAAGTATTAGCCATTGACAAAACTACATCGAATATCGTCCTATGCGTCGGATTATAAAACCGTCAACTTGGGACTCTTCCGAATAAGTTGAAGTTAAGTTGTCTTCCCAGCTCATAGATAATAACCGCTAAAAAGAGTACGGTTGCGAAGAAATACAATTGTGGAAAGGTTAGAACGCCTCAGGCGGCACTATCGCTGGACACTTTTAGAAATTTGGTGGGGTGCTAACGAGTACGTTATTAATCTGACGTTACTCATGAAACCGAAATACTCACAATTTCATTGTTAATTGTTGATGCCCGTTTATCGCAAACCAAGAAATTGTGGCTGAAGCGCATTTGTTAGAATCCTGGAAAACAACTCCGAAAGCAAATGTCAGAACAGGTATTAGTAGCGTGAAGAATGAATATCAAGGGAACAAACAGACAAGGGTTTTCAGTCAAACCGGTTTGAAATATCTGTAAAGCAACACCCCTGAGTTGACTTTGCAGAGCCTAGGTTCTTCATCTCTTACTTGGAATTGCAACATGGAACCAATGACTTCGGATCATGTCTCGGCTGGTAAAAGTTGAGCCTAGTGAGCATTTGCGCGAGCAGTTGTAAAGCCAATGCTTAGCCAATCAAAAATTCACGACGGTAATACTGTCTGCAGGCTGGCTTATGTTTTGCCGTTTAGTAAACCAATTTCATAGTCATCATTCCAGAGACTACATCTGTGTTGAGCCGATGTTTCAGATGTCGACTTGTTTTCGTCTGAGTTACAACCTAAAACTCATATTTTTAGTTGACTAGGTAAAACCTGGTTTTCAAAGCGCACTTTTGAAGATCCTTTGCTTCGACGGCAACTCTCAGACATAGCACTCGGAAAAACGCATCTATTAAATTTTAAGGGTAGACCGCAGATTCTAAAACGCGTCTTTACCCCTGCTTAATTCATGTGGAAATGAATAAGAGCAGTTTTAGAGGCAAATGCCAAGATCAATTTTGAAATAATTCATAGAGGCTGAACTAAAGCAGCAACTCTCAACCGCGAAATATTTTCTTTTCTTTGCTTTAAGGGTATTCTCCATATTTATTGCCCTTACTGGGAGCAATTGCGCTCTTAAATAACTTGATAACGCATATTAATACAATAGAAAATGAAGTATAGAACGATTAAAGCACAACTTCATCTACTTCCACAGACGACTCGCTAATGCTTTTAAAGCAGGAACTGGATGAGCTTCCTCTGATATTAGTGAGAAAGCTAAACAGCGCAGCTTTCTCAAGGAGTGACGCCTATCATAAAATGGACGCATTCTGGTGGAGAAAACAGTTGCTATCTCGCCTTCCATCCGTCAGTGGAAGTTTGCCTATGTCAATTCACGCACTGTTTCATCATAAGCAACACGGTTATATTTTATACGGGGAGGTCAAGCAAAATGCCCACGAAGCTGATATCTTCACGCGGGCTCTCAACGCCGCAGAGGTATGAAGATTATTTTGCTTTTTGCTAGCATAATAGTCTCTATGGTCAAAAGCATTAGGACTTCTTGATTACAAAATTCAGTGGGTCAGGAAGATCGGCCTAACTCGACCTAATGTGGCCTGGTGAAAATTAATTGCATATGCATGTAACATGTACAATCTGTCATTTTCAAGGTATATATTTAAGTGTTTGTAGTGTAATTTCAATTTCAAACGGACACATGGGGTGGATTTTATACCAAGTTAACTGTTGCACTACTCGAAAATTGTTTGGATTTCAGTAAATGCTTTTCGTTTGGAATATATTAGGAATGGTCTATTTAATCCACGTCAAAATCTGCCCGCAGGCAGCAGAGGGTTCTCAGGCGCTAAGGTACCTGTAATAATCAATTTCAGTAGGTATTTCTAAGCATTCACTATTTATCAGGTGTTCCTTAAAGCCTTCACTTACCGCATAAGCAAAGACTGTGTATATAGTCTCTCTTTGCTTGCTGATAAATAGCGCTGATCTAGAAAATGTGTTCAACTGAAAGTAATAACCTATTATACGTTCAGAGGTGTTTTGGCAGATTTAAAATAATTCCCTTTGACCCAACTGAGAAAAACTGGGTGTCTCGGTGGTATTCGAACCCACGACAGCAAGGGAAGGCTTTAGTACCGCCAACGCCCTAACCGTTCGAGCTACGAGTCCCCATCGGACGACGCAGGTTTAGCCATATTTGCCTCAAGTTTCCCCTCCCCCCAACCTACTCGTAGCTGAGATGGTTAGAGCGCTGGCTGTACTAAAGCCTCCCCTTGCTGTCGTGGGCTCGAATTCCACCAAGGCACCCAGTGCTTCACAGTTGGATCAAAGTGAACTATTATGCCTTGTTATTTCTGGCTAAAACCCCATTCTTTTTTGCACAGTTACGGGGAAAGTGACCGCGTGCACTTTGGATATACTTCGGATGATCAATTTCGTTTAAGATGACTGTATTTTTAAAACGGTCCTTCGGTTAAGAGGAATGAGTTGCGTAAGGTCGCAAAAACGATCAGTATGTGCTAAACACCCAAGACAATGAGATTTCAAATTTCAGATCCTGTAAGACCTTTGGTTAGGTAGAACCGGCAGACGGCGACTAATAAGCAAGAAGTGGCCAACAACGTCCCCGTGTCTTCATTGATATTTCTTTTAGGAAACATATGCATAGGCCACTTCCGGAGACAGTTACTGAAAAACTTTTTTATAGAATGCTTTGACAGATGCAAATCTAAACACCGAATTTCTGTTACATACGAATATGCTTGAGTTGCATTACGAAAGTAGTCCTTTTTGAACTGTCGTAAAAGTAATCTATTGTACTTAGAATCATATTGGAAACCTAATGTAAACTGTATGTGTTTCTGCGCACAGTATGCAAGAAGGAGTTGCGAAAATGCACAGGTTCATAGTGAAGTTTTGATAAATTTTCAGGGAGACAAAAGACAAATAGTACTCACGTAAGGCCGCAATAACGAGACTAATCAATTGTGCTGTATCAGCGCTTTATTCGCAAGATATATCGAGACTTTAAAACGAAATTATTAGATGACAGGACTATTGATGTGCATCAACCAAATGGTCAAGAAAATATCACTTTCATTACACTTGACCAGGTACCAATTTATATCAAGAAGAAGTTAGAATATATGCACATAGATATCTCAGCGTTAGAGTACCATTCTGTTAGGAAAGATGTGTTACGCGTAACGGTTGGCCGCAACTTCACATTACACATCTTTAAGTCTTAATTATGAATGATTTTTGCAAGCCCCTTTTTCTCGTAACGCCTGAGTTTATCTGCAAACTGTTGAGGCCGATTACATCTGTCAATAAAAACTGAGATATTCTCCACCCTACAGAATCTCTGTAATCTTTTTAGCTAGACACTCAACCTTCATGTAGAAAACTTGGTCTTTGTTTGATATTCCAGTTCAGTTTCTCCCAACTTTCTGCGACCTTGTTTGATAGTATAGAGGCCTGTCGAGTGTGCACAACGATATGCTTTAGCGCTAAATAAAAGACAATGAACAGCCACCGCGAAATAAATGATTTGAAACTTCAATAGACATATGCGTTTTATGCGGTATTTTATTTCCCATATAATCACAGGTGTTCAGTAAAGTGTAAGGTGCACTGACAGTCCGGTGTTATATCTGCGTTAATCCTCAAAGACTCTGACTGTATTCCAGAGCAGTGCTGATGCCAACGGGACCATACTTAGTACGACCAATAAGCATGTTTTCAATACCGTTGATTATTGCTGTCATGACAAGACTACTTATTAATAAGTGTCGCTTAAATTTCATAGTACTTGCAATAATGACATGCCCACTCAAAATTAACGTTACGAATTAACTCGCAGTTTTCCATTCGATTGATGCATTAAAAGATAAAACACAATCTTCCACGGGAAATGATTCTCTCGATGGCGTATATTTATGCAATACGGACACTAATTATTCCCCACACGGTTTCTAAAGAACATTTCAGTTAGGATAGAGAGAAATAAGTGTCAGGTAAAAGCAGCAAATGAGCTTCTTCGCGAAATTCGAGTTTTTTTCTCGTCACACAAGATATTTTAGAACTTCCAAAATATGTCTCTACTTCAAACTTTAACAGTAGTGTTGACTTGTGGCTGTTACAAAGGTCTCTACAGGACTGCCGTCAAAATTAGATTTTTAGTGGCATGCACACTTTTCGCTCGATGATGAAGAAATATAAGATGCTCTAATTTCAAGTATCATTGCGCGTGAAGCATTGCCGCCAAACGTCTCGAAGTGTTGGCAGATCTTTGACCCATGCGGGCTTTTTGCGTTAGAAAATGTTACAATTTCACCAAAAGACAGCGCTAGAATTTATTTTTCCATTATGGACGTGAAAAATGGACATTATTTCCTTGCACTTATGCCATCAAAGTGTGGGGACTTTTTAGAAAATCCAAGGCCCTAAACTAATTCCTCGATTACTTAAACTTTCTGAAAGTCGTAAACAGGCTTTAAAATGTCGAATTTGCGAGCTAAATTATTAAGAAGGTCAGACGTTCATAGTGTTCCAAATTACAATGACTGTTGCGAAAACTCAAAGTGACTTTTCATCTCCTATGACACCTCTTGATAGCACGCGTACTTATAAGGCTTGAGCAAAACATTTTTAGCAGGGACAAACCGAACATTATTCAGTAAGATGTTCGCTCTATCGCAAAAACATGGATAACAGAACTTAGAGCATTAGAAATATGGATGAGCCTTCGATTTAATGTTTATCACTCTTTTATTGAGCAGTCCGTGTACTTGCAGTGTCAAGTGTATTTCACAAGCACAGATTTTGAAGACGTTCCTGGAAAGATCGTGCAAAGTTCACAGGTAACAAAAATGTGAATGCGCGTTTTAATTACTAACCCTCTGGCCTTTATTATTCCAAGTATATCAGTTTAAGGTTAACATTCTTCGATAGAAACAAGGCCAACGTTGCGCCATATTTCTTGGCATGCTGGCAAACTGAAGAAATAATCTGGAGAATAATTTTAGAGGAACTAATCGGATTTTGTTCAGAAGTAACAGCGCTTCTATGAATATTACATATGTTCATTCGAGATTTTGGCGTAAAATTTATTCTCCTCCGATCAACAGCAAGTAAATATTAGTCAGCTGCAAAGAACATTTGCATTGGTCACAAAAGCCTCGACACGGTTCCAGAAAAGGCAGCGTATGCCAGGATACTGTTTGGGAAAATACTGAGGTAACTATAAAAGTGGAGATAACAGCCATCTTTTTAAAAATTGTCCAGCTCTCCTGTAATTGCAGACTATGAGGTTTATCATTTAGGCTTGCCTTAATCAACAACTTCATTTCAGTGTCCTGAAAGTACGCTGGAACAAATAAGCGTTAACAGTTTGATTCTTAAAAAGGAAAGACTGAGAAGCGTGTGATACGCATAAAAATCAATCAAAAGCAAACAAAATTGTAGTTATTTGATACAATTTTATATAATCCACTACTCTACATGATGAGTTAAAGTTAATTTACGTTTACCCTCTTGCGGTCTTCTCTGTGTTTGAGCTTATTATTCTACTTTTTAGAATATGGCGACCTATATTGCTCGTTTTTGCATTAATGACGAAGGTCTTCAAATGCCCGAGGATGGGAGATTCATCCTAACGGCCTTGTTTCGTTTGACTTTGCACTGTTCACGGAAGGTTAAAAGTCACAGAGAAAACTTGGATACATTTCACAACTTTCGGAAAAACAGCGTGAAGACGTAAGTTACTGAGGGCTCCACTATATGAGACGCACAATACTAAAAACTATTAGGAGTATTAAGAAAAGAAAGCTTAAAACACTGTTTCTTAGACCACATTCACAAGATACTTAAAGTCGAAGAAACTTAAAGAATGTGTTTGGAATTTAACGTACAAGATAAGTGGATATCAAATAAAATAACTATGTTTAATATATATGTACATTCTAGGTTTTAGCGAAGTAAACCCATGTTCTAGACACAAGTTCAAGATATTTCTTCTGAACTTTCCATACGCGTATTTAAAGAGAAGCCGCGGAATTTATCAAAGATTTAGACTGGTGTATTGGAAAAGTTTTTTCGTTCAGTTTGGTTTGCTAATATCAGCAAGAAATCAGCACTTGACAGGCCAGGGGCAACGTTTGTAATATGGAGCCGAAATTGTAAAAGTGCGACCATTGATATGCTCAGGGATCTCTATGACAGTTTTAACGAAAAAGATTACTTTTTATTCCATGAATTTAGGTGAGACTTATCATCTTCGTTAACTGTGTTGCAGAAAATACTTAATGTAAATTATCCATGATGGAAAATATTAAGTATATCGCTCATTTTAGTCATTTTTCTCTGAATTGCTGCCAAGAGATTTTAATTAAAGAGCCCAGATTTAGCGAGACCTGCCTATCGCATGACGTTAGTGTGGGTACACATTCAACAAAAGTCATGTCTTATTTTTCAGTATATTTGATAATTCTAAATACTTAATCGACTTTCGTTTTCTTATGAATTTAAATATCAACGTTTTCGCTAAAGAAATATTTCAACTCTCAAATGAATAAGGGGTAGGCGAATGGAAACGCCGTTTGGAAAGCATACTCGAAGACTGGTCTTTCTCAATTAGGTGGTGCTAAGAACTGCTTCTAAGTAAATACAGTCGTGAAGACCCTGATGTACCAAGACTCTATTAGTAGTGTGACTTATTACAAATATACGGAAAGATTATGTTTACCGCATGCTCGATTCCTCCGCGAGGTATGTGCATGAGACGGCAAAGTTTTGCATTTGATTCTCTGTTTCAGTTTTGATGAGGAGATTAATGTAGTTGAGAATATGTATTCCGGAAACGAGATTATTCTTCCTATCAACGCCAGCTAAACATCTTTACACATTTAACATATTATGGGATGATGCCATGCTTGGATTTACATTTCGACGGAAATAGAATTCAGATGTGAGTTCTCTCGTACAAAGGAGGATTACCACGATTCCTAACAGACTGGACGGTTGTGGAAGGACGTCTGCCGGTCGGGTTACAGGGCATGCTCGTCCCGTTGTGTCTTCGGTCTCAATGTATTGCCCTCATAGGCAGGTTTAAAGCCCACAGCTCTGTTTAGTTTGTTCAAAAAGTAAATAGGGTTAAAATTTTAGACATCAACTTGTTGAGGCATATAGAGAAAGGTCTTCTTCCACAAATATTTTGTTCGGGTCTTTTCGACAACTTTCTCTAGCGCATTAGAAAACTCGTTTCTGCTGGGAAGTATCGAAGACGCTGACAGATTTAATATTGAACGAGGTGTTAAGAGTCTGATGAATGATCTTTGGTCTAGAAAACGGCAGTGTTTGGATGGCACTTGCTTGTACCCGCAAAAACCAACTGTGCAGTCCGATTGATCCTGCCTCCGCTTTATCCACCGGGGTCTATATAACAAACTATGTCACTTGGTAGCACAGGGTGCATTTGCTGAACATTTGTCTTGACGGCTCTTTAATGATTAGTGCTTCTGATATGGTTTAGAAGAGAATTGTCAATCGTTTTGTTTTACGACTTCCAGATCGTTAAAATTTATTTTCGTGTCCTTTGAGAAAATAACATTAGCTTGTTTGACGATATAAACTTTTGCAGACAAGCACTTGAAAGATTGAACCCACAGAGGACCCACCTTACCCAACAATCATCTGTTCCCATCCAGTTATGTAACTGGATTTGTGGATAGTGGTGCATGAATTTAGCGTTAGAGAGGAGACGTAAAGAGGCCCGAGTGAATTCCCCTTAAAAGCAGACAGCTGCATTGCTTTGAAAACACAGTTGGGCACAATGGACGGTCGTAGGTCAGCAATGTACCGTCCGATCTCGTTGTTTAGGCGACAAACCAGGGTTGGTGGGTGTAGTGGACCATAAACATATGGAAGTTGTTGCTTTGTCCGGACCAGTTTTTCTTCCGAACCTACTTATCCTAATTTTCTGCTGCAATTGCTTGCACAATCAAGCGTTAAACAATGCAATGTGGTTCTTTATACCCCTCTTATGTGAAAATTGGCTTAAATAATATGTTTAACTCAAAGTCTTTAAAATCACATGAAGGACAAAGTATCCAAATGCACTTTCCGCTGCAGTTTCCGCGCAGGCAGTGGTTCAGACAAAAATCCCTGAGAACGAGCAACTGCCGAATTCTTCTATAAAGAAAGTAAATTATTTTTAAAATATTTATTTATCTGGTGCCCCACTGAAACAGCATTATTTCACCCTGTGTTGATAATGTTGCCTCGTCTAGGAGGGCACACATATTCATAACGTCGCTGAATTCTGATTTTATTTCCATTGCTGCGTTTATATTAGATCATTTTAAGCCTCAGAGCAAATAGGTCTCTCACCTATTGGTTGCTGCAGATATGATTCAGTCAACGATGACAATGTTCTAAGTCAGGTTTGAGGACGCGTATCTCTTGACTACCTCAGTAACACAGCAAGTAATGGCCCGCATAAATTGGTCATTTATAACATACCAATTAATAGTCACTAAAAGCTAGCATTCGCATCCTGCAGCTCCATTCAAGGGGAAGACGAAGGGCTGCATGCTCCTTCATCAGAGCTTCGACTTTTGCTCTAGTACCATGACAGTTCGTCCGTCGATTTCGACGATGACCACCGTGTGCCCCACAGACTGCATTGTGGGAGCAGGGACGGTGACTTGCGCAGGGGTTTATAGTGCCAGTAGACTTGCGCTGCATCTACCTACACTCTCTCCTCCTCCCCCGCCTGGGCCCGGTGTCAAGACAGAGTCAAGAAGACCGGAGACGGGGGAGGCCGCAGGTGAATGGCTCGGACGGATCTTCGCCTTGGCGCTCCACTCCGCACCCCTGGTCCACACACCAATGACCAGGATTTTGACCACAAAACAATGGGGTGGAGGCAGTGGTCCAGTTGAGCGACGAATGCCGACAACAGGGTCCGCCAGCGCACCCCGCAAATGTTGGCATTTGTTATTGCGCACAGATAACGCCTGCCAGAGTCCGATGTGGCCCCTGTGTTGGTCCAGCGCATCTAACACGTGGCCCGTTTTGAGGGCACGCTCTAGTACCAATAAATTGAATAAAGACCATAAATTCGGAACTTTAACTGTTAAAATAAATTTGTTTAAAAATTTGGAGCGAAGAATAGAAAGCCTCAGCTACACTAACACATCTTACTTTCCGATCACTTATACCTGCGAGCAGTCACCCTCTATGAAGGATTATTGTTCTAGTTGTTTGTAGACTTTACGACGGTAAATCGCTCGCACCGAAAAACGTGGCTGTTTGTATCAAGAAGTTTCCCCAAAAATGCGGAGGCTAATGTCACTCAAAAATTTACAGCAACAAACGTGTTTGAATAACACAGGGCATGTGGGCGTTTAGAATCCACCAGACATTTTTATGATTGCGACTGCTTCCACGTATGTTTGTTATACAACAACCTAGAACTGCCAGAATAAATAGACCTGTTTAATAAAAAAGGGCCCCCTTGTTTCCATTTGTAAGTGTGCTTACTGAGAAAGACTCAGGGATGATCCATTTGTTACTTTTAAGTAAGTGTATCATCCTTAAGTCGGCATTACTGCTAAAAACATTCGGCCAACTTTGCACAGTTATTGTGTCAGTCGCTCTTACGTGTTCCCTTTCTGTGGTCTGAATATTTTTGGGTTATCATTTGTATTTCTACTACGCTCGGAGAGTCCAGTTTGTACTTGCTCGAGTTTCCCATGTCCAAATAAATCTGTCAAAAACTGAAGGGACATAAACTTGCGATGCCGGCATTTCTTTTTCTCACGTTTATCCGTAGATGTACACAAGTCATACTTAAGGTTGTAAGTGATGTGAAAGGACCAGAGTCAGCAAGGTCGTTTGCGTAACAGTGGCATACGCGGAAAATTGCTTTCATCGTTGGATCCCTCGACTCTTACGTTCTGCAAATAGCTAGTCATCAATACCACCCATGAGTAGCAAATCGAGTAATAATGGGACATTACTGACGCATGACACATGTGACTCTATGAAAGTGCCTTGTTTAACAACTCAGGTTTTGTGGTGTTTTCAGCCACGAGATGACCGCGTGCTCCGATTTCCCTAATAAGCGTAGGAGAGGACAACTGTGATAGGTGTTAGGAAAATGTCTTGATGGACTACGTGTGAAACAAAACACGAGCTAGCGAGAAAAATGAGGAAATTTAATTTTCCTTCACAAGAAGCAGAACTCCGGTCTGTAATCTCTCACTTAAGCAACTGGCGCTAATGCAATTACCACAACGTAAGGCGCTAAAATATAAGCTGAATTACTACAACATAAGATGGACATCTGTAATATAGATGTCGATTTTGTCAGCACTGTTGCCACTACTGAGTTAGTCTTTGAAATATCCGGAACTCTGATAGCAATATTCATTTGGCAACGTATTATCCTCTTTTTGTTTTGCAAGACCAGAATAATAAAAGACGCTTTTACGAAGCTGCGGGAAGATGAAACTGTAATGAGTTTACTGATAGACGTATTAAAAATTTCGTTTGTATTACAAAAAGTTGAGTACTCCAAAGCAAAGTTAAAGACAACAGAATGCAATTACGGGGGTGGCATTCAGCAGTAAAAAGCGTCAGTGTTTGCAATTGACCATTTGGACTTTTTGGCGGATAGTCGGCTGAAACTTTATCTGTATTAAACGGG